CCCCACTTACCACATTAACCAGTAACACTGAGTGTAACACTGAGTGCCCTCCCTCCGCATGCAACCTCCTACAATTCCCACACTTCCTCACAGGGGTCATCAGGGGAGCAATCAGGAGTTGAGGAGTTGAGGGCAAGTCTGCAGGGGATGAGAGGAGTGAGAGGTTACCAGGGAGGTAATCAAGAGTTGATCATCGAAGAACCGGGGCCCTGTAGCAGGAGAGCACTAGAGATGGGTCTGTAGGTCGTCAGCACTGTAAGGGTTAAAAGTCCATCCTGGGAAAAGGGCATGCATCTTTTTTACCCCCATGTCCTGCTTGTTCCCTCAGACTCTAAGGAGCTTGGCCGGGGCAGCTAGTCTCCAGGGTTCTAAGATGGCGAAGGAGAACTCCGGCTTCTCCACCATCCCTGAGACGCCGGTGAGTGAGGCGAAGCCCCCGCTTGGCTCCCGCCCGTTCAAGGCCTCCGCACGGCTCGGGGACAACGAGCCCGAGAAGGCCGTGAAGAAGAAAAGGCGCCAGCGGTACGTGGAGAAGGACGGCAAGTGCAACGTGCAGCACGGGAACGTGCGGGAGACCTACCGCTACCTCACGGACATCTTCACCACCCTGGTGGACCTCAAGTGGCGCTTCAGCCTGCTGGTCTTCATCCTAGCCTACGCCATCACCTGGCTCTTCTTCGGCCTCATTTGGTGGTTCATCGCCTATTGCCGTGGCGACCTGGACCACCTGGAGGACCACACCTGGACGCCCTGTGTCAACAACCTCAATGGGTTTGTCTCGGCCTTCCTCTTCTCCATCGAGACCGAGACCACCATTGGCTATGGTCACCGGGTCATTACAGACAAGTGTCCCGAGGGCATCATCCTGCTGCTGCTCCAGGCCATCCTGGGCTCCATGGTCAATGCCTTCATGGTGGGCTGCATGTTCGTCAAGATCTCCCAGCCCAACAAGCGGGCCGAGACCCTCGTCTTCTCCTCCCACGCGGTGGTCTCCCTGCGCGATGACCGCTTGTGCCTCATGTTCCGGGTCGGGGACCTGCGCAGCTCCCACATTGTGGAGGCCTCCATCCGGGCCAAGCTGATCAAGTCCAAGCAGACCCATGAGGGGGAGTTTATCCCCCTCAACCAGACGGACATCAACGTGGGCTTCGAGACGGGCGACGACCGCCTCTTCCTGGTCTCGCCCCTCATCATCAGCCATGAGATCAATGAGCACAGCCCCTTCTGGGAGGTCTCCAGGGAGCAGCTGGAGAAGGACGAGTTTGAGATTGTTGTCATTTTGGAAGGGATGGTGGAGGCCACAGGTAAGGTGTTGTGCCTGGGGGTCCCCCAGGATCACACTAACCTAGGCTAATGCTGGCTGGCTTCATATCGACTGTGCCCCAGTCTTGCTCTGGATCTAGTCCAGATTGGGCCTAATCCAGATTCTTACTAGAGCTTGTTCAGTTGGGGGATCAAGTTTAGATTGAGTCCCCTCCATTTGCACACTAACTCCAGGCCATGGGCCTATCTCAGGCATACACCTTCCCAGCCCAGTTTCGGGACAGGGTTCAGAGTGAGTTCTTCATAGGGCCAGGCTGGATCCAGTGCAGGGTTTGGGCAGCATTTAGCCAGGATATGACCACATGGCTGCTCCACTCACATCCTTGAGCAGCTGCGTTGGGTCAGAACACCTCTTCCAGGAGGGGAGCGTGTTGTATTCACCACCACAATCCAGCCCAAGACTTTTCTGCAGGCCAGGCTCCCCCAGGATCCTATCCCGGGACTGCTCAGCCCATACACTGGGGGATCAGACACGCTGCTCCTGCTTATCTTGTATCTGGGCAGGCAGTGCTCCCTAGACTTCATGAGTCAAGAAAGCTCACTTGCCGTTCCCCAGATGGATCTGCAGCAGGGAGCACGCCCATCTGTTATATCCCCACCACACGCACTGCCTGGTTTCCTCTCCTGTGTGTAGCCTCTTTATGGTCCAACTCCAACTCCAAAGTAGCCTGTTGTTGTCTGATGCTCTGCTCTCTCTGTCAGCCTTGCTCCCAATCTCCACTGGAGCCCATCTCCTGCCTCATTCTTGGTCACAGCTCATCCATATAGCAATGGCAGCAACAGAGCCCCTTCAAGGATAACAACTTACTACTCCTAACAGCTAATGGAATTATTCCATTAGCTCAAGAGGCAGAGAGAGGTCTATGCTGCCGTGCTGAAAGTGGAATCCAGGCCAATAGTTCAAAGCCCTCTGATAGGAGGTAGAGGTAAAATGCCTTGCATGGATCATGGGTTTGTGATCAAGGGACTGGCTCAGGGTTATGTGATCTGGGTTTAATTCTAGTTCTGCTACTTAGTCTCTGTGATTTGGGGGTGGTCGTTTCCTCTGTCCTGGCATCGTGTCCCATCTGTTAAAGGGGAATAATGGTCCTTCCTTGTTAAACTGTCACGTCTTTCAGGCAGGGAATGTCTTGCATGTCTATACAGCACCTGGCACAATGGGGCCCCGATTTTAGTGTGGGGTTCTAATTCTACTAATGAGCTGTAGGCACTACTTTAATCCAAATAATAATATATGGGATGAATTTGGGTTCCCTGCTAGTTAATTAAAAACAAAAAAGGGAAAAGGGGCAGCAGGAAGAAATGGGAACTCTAAAAGAGGGCCATTAAGTGAACAGTAATTCCTGTTTTATTCAGTCAATCGGGAATAAATCACCATTACTTTGAAAAAAATTCTTCTTTATTCAAAAGCTTCGCATCAAGCACAGGCAATAAACCATTCAGCAATTGACATAACCTAGTGGCAGAAATGCACCATTTATTCCCTGGAGCCTTATAATGAAATCTGCGGGGAGAGGACCCTGGTGCTGCAGTGCTGCGTGGTTATGCACCAGCTCCTATTGACTGCTCTGGATTGAATCCAACAAGATGTGCTCTGTAGGGCAGAGCACACTTGGTGTGGCAGTGGCTGTGTGGTTAAGGCCCAAAATAGGGGCTCAGGAGATCCAGATTCAGTTTCTGGGGCTACCCTCATGACCCCTGAAGACACGTGGATCTTAGTTTCCAACAACAATTACTGATTTTTTAAGGCTGAGCCCCTCCAATCTGAGAATTTTATTCTAGCTGCCTGTTGGCGCAGTCTAGCATCCGGAGCAAGTGTTACAGCAGCCAGCACCATGTGCCCAGCCATCTGGCCGTAGATCACAAGGACCTCACTGAACGTAGTTTGAGACCTGCTGGGCTTTGCATTTTGACAGGTGGTCGTATGTTCCTAGCACTTATCAGACATTCCTAAACCGCACAGAACTGATATGGAGCAGGTAACATACTGGGGTTTGTGCTACAGTGGCCTGCAGAAGCCCTGAAGGCAATAGGGGAGTTTTGGAAGGGCGGGGAACACACCCGATAGTCCTGGGAACAGGATGAAAAGCAAGCTGCGGCCCAGTGCACATGGCTGCTGCCCCCCACCCTGCCTTCCCGAAACTCTGCCCTTGCCTCACGGAAGTCAGGCCCCCATTATGCCGGACACTGCACAGCCCCAGACTGAGATCAAGGTCCCCACTGTGCCAGGAATTTATCAGAGCCCGGTTGAGATCAGGGCCTCTATTGTGTCAAGTCTGATGTCACATAGAGCCCTACCGAGATCAGGGGCTTATTGTGGCAGGTGCAGCACAGACCTGACCAAGATCAAGGCCGTGTTCTGGAGGGTGCTTCACAGACACATAATGATATTGCAATCAGTGCTTCATTTGTGCCAGGGCCAGGACCGAATTCCAGTGCCTGTGGGTTGCCTGTTCAGAACCCCGGCACCTCTGGGCCCGGCAGTTTAGAAGCTGGCTAGGGATGTTAAAAATTGAGGCTGTTGCTACACTTCAAAGGTGAAGGTGCTGCATGGAGCCTGGGATCAGCTGGGGACACCCCTGTTAACTCCGGGCTCTGTGTGGCACTGCCACTTTGAAACGCTGTGGGGAGCCCGGCGGCAGGCTCCATGCAACATTTCAAAGCGGCAGCACTGCGTGGAGCCCAAAGTCAGCGGGGGAGTCCCCAGCTGATCCCGGGCTCCATGCAGCGCTGCCACTTTGAAATGCCGCAAGGAGCCCGATGCCGGGTTCCCCGTGGCGGTTCACAGCGGCAGAGGCCAATACAC